AGCAGGAGTTAATTAACTGAATACGAGAAGCTGCTTGATAAAAGTGGATAATGAGATTACACAGGCACTAGCTTGTTTGGAGTTAACCGTTCAAATGTTTGGTGTTGTATGATTTATTTATAAACATTCGAGGTTATGAGAACATGTTGACATTTCGAAAGTACGTTCCGCAGTCAACAAATCGTGTTGAATTTACCGTTTATCTTATTGTCACTCTGTATAATTCCATGGTTACCCGAGTTTTAAATAATTACGAAGCAACAGGTATTTGCGCAATGTTAATTAGGCAGATTACTTTGAAAAACATTGCTGCCGTATTTCTGATATAGTTTTTTGCAAATTTCTCAGTTTTTAATAACAATTAATTTATTTTACTATTTTTTCTGTACGCCTATAACAGTGCCAGACAACTCCTCCAGAGGAATGATTCAAAATTGGTGTCATTGCGTTCATAGTATTTTTCAGCAAGAAAACCTCCATCCTTACCATTTTACGCCGGTGCAGAATTTATTAGCGGACGATCTACCAGCAAGAGTGCAATTTGCTAATTTCCTCCGTAACTAAAGCAATGTCGATCCGATGTTTTTGAACAAAATTTTGTTTACAGATGAAGCTACATTTACAAGAAGAGGTGTCTTTAATTTTAGAAACAAGCATTTATGGGATGTTGCAATTATTATGCCTTATTCAGTAACCGAAAGGCATTTTCAACATGAGTTTAAAATTACTAATGACCATTTTCTCGGGCCTCATGTATACCACCAACTTTGAATGGCAATTCTTATCTAGAATTTCCTCAAACTCGACTATCTGATTATTTCGATGATTTACCGCTGAATTTGCGGCATGATATTATTCTTATGCATGATGGCACACCACCCCATTTTGTCAGAGCAGTTAGGAATTACCTATACCAACATTTTACAAATCGGTGGATAGGTCGTGGAAGTTCTTAGGCTAGGCCGGCGCGACGTCTTGACTTTATCCCATTACATTTTTGTGTTTGGGGTTACTTAAAATCATTAGTGTTCGATCAAACGGTAGACACCCGAGATGAGTTGATCAATAAAATTATGAATGCCGCCGAATCTTTTCGAAATAAAAATATGTTTTTTAAAATTAGACGATCCCTCAATAAACGCATTTCAAATTGTATTGCAGTTTACGGGGGACGTTTTGAGCAATTGCTGGCATAAATTGATGTTTTATTGTTAGTAATTAACATAAAAAGATCCTATTGTTAAATAATGATGTTTAGTAAATATGTTTTCACTTAGATACCTATTGTGGTTTTATTAATTCTGCGTTTTGCGGTTTAATCGCAAATATCTCGGAAACAGAGGCTTGTTGGGACATGAACGAAGAATACCTTTTTTGTGCAAAATTAATAGGCGATTAGACCCAACCAGTTTAGAAGTCAGAATACCGGGTGACCAGAAACTTAAAACAATTTTTTTGCACAGATAAGTGGCTTTTTATACAAGTTGATCAAAATATGATGGCACATTTGGATTTCGTATGCTCAAAAACCCCTGTATACCAAATTTCGTTAAAATATGCAGCTCCGTTCAAAGTCGAACAACGAAAAATTGAAATTAAAAGTTTGACGCCCTGTATGTCGGCAACCGTCAACTTTTGGACTAAGGTAAGTAGCATTAAATCATCATATTTTCACCCCAGGAATCCGCCGTTTTGTTTTGTGTCATTACTTTTGAGACACCCTGTATATGTGTTCATATTTTCTCCTTATGAACATATTTCCTCAAACATATGCCAGTTATTTAAAGGAAATTTCTCTTATTTTCTTACACTCGGAAAGTGCAAGTATAAGTGATGACGTGATGAACATAACCGCAAGCATTCATGAGGTTTGAAATAGGTGTTTGTGTGTCATCGATTTTTAGTTCTTAAAAGATGATTTAACCGTATACAGCACTGGGCAATCGCATTTTCAACAATAAATGCCGGGTCGTTCGGACATAATTTTCAACAGTTTCTAACTGTTTTTTCTGCAAATTTATGGACCATCCGCATTTGTTCTCCTTGAATGTGCTTTATTTAAGTGTACTTTAAGGGAAAATGAAAAAGAACGCCGAAATCCGCCAGATATAAAGTGCACCTTCCTCATTATTGCATTTAAGACAAGCTTACACTGTAAAAGTGAATAATATTGTATTTTAGAAGAATATAAAATAGACGTATGCCACTTAACATGAATATATCAAACATAATATATCTCACAAAGTTTGTAAGCTCGCACTTACCAGATTTCGTAATGTACTACACAGAAACAGCTAGACGAACACCGTAAACAAGAGATAGACAAACACCATATAAACACAAAAAACCACTAAAGTGTGTAATGTTTGGATTTGCATTAAGCATAGATCACAGATTACAGATGTTACTCTGTGATCTGTGGCATTGATAGACAAATGCTAGTTAGACCAGAGCAGCGTTGCCAGACCAACAACGTCGAAAGCGATAAGATGGATAAAAAAACGATAGATTTAGAAACAAAACTGTTTTTCGAATTTATTAAGTAGTTTTCGAAAATACTTTATTTTAATACCTTAATTTACTACTTTACTTATAAAATTAAATAAAATTAAACGAGTTTTACTGCTTTGTCGAAACTTGTCAAATGAGAATGTATATTTTCTATCTCTGTCTATATACAGGGTGATTTACGGTCGATGGCGTATTAGACGTTTCGACTTCGTTGTACAAATTTGCAGATAGATCGGGCATCGCTTTCTCCTTAAACGTTTAATACGCCATCGACCGTGAATCACCCTGTATATCTATAGATGCCATGCCAGCATAGCGCATAGCTACTGAAACGAGCGGCAGGGGAAAAATATTTTTAGAAAGTTTGTAAATAGTAGTAAAACTCGATTATTTTATTTAAAAAAAAATAAATTATGACGAAAATATTTGAAAAAACATACCGTAATTTCATAAAAAATAAATCTTCTATTTTTCCAATTTATTCACCAATAATTTTCCTTTATTTATGCAAATATTCCACCTTCAGATTTTAACATTTAGCAGGAGTTTGAGTCGGGAGCAGTTGAAATTCTTACAATGGATCGCATCATTGCATTGCGTGTAACACATGATACTAGAGAATAGACCGAAACCGCAGCTTAAATATCATAGAAAGCTGTGGCAAAACTCTGGAAATGTGACTTTGCCAGTTGGGTAGCCTTTTAGCCACTCTCTACTTTATTCTAGCCACTCTGCAGAAGTCAGTCGGTCGTGATAGTCGTGAGCCATCATCATAGGCCATCATCAAAAACGTCTACTTTTCACATTGTTATTATTCACGGATCGAATTAAACCGAATGTTTGATAATTGCGCGTTACAAAACGTCTTAAAAAAAATTATAAATTTTATTAAAAGTATTTAACGTAACGTTTTAACGGTAGATTCTTATAGCTTAACAGTAGGGCGGTAGCAGCCACCCTGAAGACGGTATATCTACCGTTAAAACGGTAGATCAAGCATTATTATTATTTATTTATTTAATTTTATTTCTTTATTTCAAATTACATTTGATTGATACATGCACATGTATAAAGAATACAAAATTAAATGACGTTAAAAAACAATTGACAAAGTACATATTATACTAAAAGGTACTGTTGTTACATGTTTAAATAGTCTCTAATACTATAAGGCTCTAACTCAATTAACATCTGTTTTAATTTATCTTAAACAATTTTTCAACTCTTACTTTTTTAATGTTGTTTTCTAGTTTATTAAAGAATTTTATACCCATATAGTACGGACTCTTTTCAGACAGT